AGCAGCCATGCACTTGCCGGATGAGGTATGGGCGGTCGCCAAAAGTGTGTTAAACAAGGTTGAATGAAGATAGAACACCAGACAGGCAGAATGCAAGCATACATCAATGGTACTGTGGGAGTCACTTCATATAAGTCTAAAGCACGAAGGTGCGTAGGCACACAATCAATGCTAGGGTGTTAAGCTAATAATGCTTTGGATAGAGTCAGGGAAAGCTAGTCCAAAACCTGGACGCTTGCGGGAGAAAAAGGCGAAGACATTACAAAAATTAAGCGATATGAGTACATCTAGAAAAGAGAGACTGAGGAGCGGCTGTGCACTAACTTGATGAGTAAGGAAGGAGTTTTAGGTGAAAGCTGAAAAGCTTGCATGAAGGATGGACAGTAAACAAGCAGAATGCATGCATACCTTAAGTTTACAGAGGGCCTCGCAGCACATGTGTCAGTGGCGCGCAGATACTAAGTCCCGTTAGGGTGCTAAGCTTCTGGTGCAAAGGTAGACTGAGCCGGATACTGCCAGTGAACGTTCTGGGCTCATACATGAGCAGTTGTTAAAGACTTTTCAGCGCGCAACGGATAAAGGAAAGTTTATAAGGGAGAGGCTAGAAGCAACTGTGCGCAGACCACATGCGTTCTGTTTGCTTCACAGAAGAGAGCTAGGAATGGTTTCTAGAGAAAAGAACAGCAAACAGATGAAGCGCAGTCATCCGAGATGGTTGTTAGATAGTGCAGAGCATAAGAGGATGAGACCGAGCGACGCGCAGCTAATCAAACCACGTTGGGACCTTAACTAACTAAGGAAGCCTGAGCAGGGAGAAGCCAGTGAGAGGGCTAAACTAAAATTAATTAGCTGTCACAGTCGAGTAAGTGACGGCCAAACATCAAGCAAGGAGCGAGTAATGAATAAATGGATGTCTAAAACGAGAGACTAAGGAACATCGTTGTACAGACAATATGGGTTATGTTTTCTCTGCAGAAGAGAGCTAAGGAGTTTGATGATGGAAAGACAGCGAGAGGGAAAAGCGCAATAATAAAATGAAGTCGTTAAATTGTTCAGAGCATAAGAGGCTGAGACACGTTGACGCACAGATAATCAAATCATGCTGGGGTGCTAATGAAATATAACTAAGGAGGCATGAGCCGGGAGGATCCAGTGAGAGCGCTGAACTACAAGTAATTAAATAAATATTTATTCTCGACTATGCGAGGCACGCCAGTTGAGGCATGATCAGGTATGTACAGCTGTACAGACATTTTATGGGAACTGTAGTGACAGTAGAAAATTGTTCATATGTCCATGCTTGGAACTGTGCGATGGTGAACACGCGAAAGAACGATTTGTTTGGACATAATCGCTCTGCCATATATCGCAGTCATACCTCGAGTAATAATAGATAAAGAATCCTGAGTGATCCATTGGAAGATAATTGAAGAGCAAGCTATCCAGTATGATGATTCTAATTGAGCTGCCAGTGTGAAGTTATGGGCTGTGACTTTATTCGGTGGCGAGTCACATTCGCCACGTTGCAGTGTTGTTAAACGGACATTTGTGGCTTTTTATAGGGAGAACGCTTGCCAGGCGAAAACCCACCACGTCCTGAAACACTGCCGCCAATCCATTGAATGGCAAGTTGTAACTGGCTATGTTTCTTGTTGAACGTTCTTTTGCTCCGTTATTCGCAGTCAAGTTGCGTCCCATTTTTCTGCTGACTGATGCGCTATGCGAGTGGCCATTGCGTGCCTGGGTCCTCTCCTGTTCCAGATCGGTAGGTCAGGAACTAAGCATTCTTTCTGGATATGATGTGTTGATCATCTGCAGAACCACGTGAAGCCTCGAAGAATATACGTTGAAATATGTTGAAGTCTTGGAGGACAGGATAGGTTCCGAAGAAAGAATCGCAGATCCCCCGGGGTATGTAGTGAAATTGATTAGAGATTGTGGTAACCACGGCCATTTGAGCGGTCAAAGCGGATTGAAGAGCTTAGAATGACCGATTGTTCAAGCTTTGTCTTGGCAGGAGAATGTGCCTTCCGTAGTCGAAAGTCCTCCAGTCAAGAGATATGTGGAATAGGTATTGTTAGATAAATTGGACTCAGTGGTTCATGCCGCGGAAGAATTGATTGATTTGTCCAGGTTAGTAAGTTGTAAAAAAGTTGATAATTTTCCGCTCATGTCCAGGTAGAGGAACTGTGTGCCTTGTATTGTTGTCGAAACGGAGGACAATTCCTTGGGTGCGTGTCGCCGTACCTGTGACAGACTCGGGAGAAAAAGGAAACGAACAGAGACAGCCACACAGACAGAAGAAAGGAATGCATCTGGAATGCAGTCAATCAATTGCGGCGATGCCTGAACTATTGTACCACTATGCATGTAATTGTTATTTAAATATCGCATATACACGTATATCATAAGTGGCGAAATACGACGAGAATCGAGCGGAACACGGATCAGTAAAGAATGAAAGATTGAAGATGAAGCAGGAGTGTTTGGGGAGGGGTCAGAAAGCAAAAGAGCGTTTAGATGAGACTGGATAAGTCAGCAAGATGTAGCTAGGCAGTCAGATTAAAGTGGGGATAACAGTAGTGAATGTCGCGAGAAAGTAAATTTGCGGGACTACAGAGGCTATATAAAAAGCCCGTTAGCATATCAAACGAAGCTCTCAGGCTGAGGGACAGGGTGTGTTGTGACTGCACAGCCTAGAACACGTGCGTCTCTGATTTCTGGAAACAGTCAGAAAATAGGAGACTGGTCAGACCAGGCTAGAGTGGAGCCAGGCCCGAAGTGTTATCCGTCCAATGGATAAAGGAAGGCAGACAGAGTGCGAAAATGAAAGAATGTAATCGTGAAGGAGACACTTAAGGGGAAGTGGAAGAGCCTACAAAAATCTCGAGGTGTTGCGAACAGACCTTTGGACCAGTCGATGGTTCAAAAGTATGGGCTCAGTATTCGGAAAGCAGGAGACCATGGAGATGAGATGAGGATATCGGCTCATGGAGAGAAAGCCGTATTATAAATGTCAGAAAGTTAACAGAGCGTCAACAGGATAGAAGTGTTAAAGATAAAAGCGGATATACTAGTGATGAATCATGAGCAGCAGTGCTCTGGAGGCGGGGGAGACAGAGCATTGCGCCTGCAGAGACTAGATCATTTAGAACTCAGAAGTTCGAGAGAGGTCAGAAGGCAGGAGGCCGTACAGCCAGAACCAGATAAGTCAGGCTAGAGTGTAAAAAAGGGCTCTATGGGTGAGAAGAGAAAGAAAAAGAAAGCCAACGATATGCTCCAGGTGCTGTGCGCAGACCGTTGGAGCTTACGGTTTCTGTTCATTAGGGTCACGGAAGTCGGAAGGTACGAGATCGTTGAGACGAGCCCAGAATGTCAGCTCGTAGGGTGAAAGTCGTATTAGTAAAGTCTAAGTGCTGACAGAGAGCATCAACAGAAATGGACATGTTAAGGAAAAAAGGGGACATGATAATAAGGTTCAATCATGACCAGCGGTGGTCTTGCGGTGAGGGTAATAGACTTTCGTCGGCAGAGTCTAGATCATAGATCACAGAAGTCCGAGCGATGTCAGAAGACAGGAGAGCGTACAGTCAAACCCGGGTAAGTCAGCAGGCTGAAGCTAGGCCTCCAAAGTAAGGTGGGAATAAGTAATGAGTGTCATCAGAAAGCAGTTTGGGAAGCAAGTGGCTATATGAAAAGGCGGTTGCATGCCGAGGAACGGTCTCGGGATAAGGGGGACAGAGCACCAGGACAACAGAGCCTAGATCGTTAATGTTTGGAATGTAAGGAAGTAGTCAGAAAGCAGGAGGCTGGTCGGACGCCGCTAGAGTAGTGCCAGATCCGGAGAGTTGCCTGACCGGTGGAAAAAGGAATGCACACAAAATGAGAAAAGGAAAAGTTTTCATTGATGAGTGGAGAAGTCAGCGATATTCCCGACGTGGTATGAACAGACCATTTGGTCTGCCGACCCCTGATCATTAGGGTCACAGAAGTCGGAAGGTGGGTCGTTCAGACCAGACTAGAAAGTCGACTCATAAGGAGAAAGGCGTAATAGTAAGCTATGCATTTTGTCGGATCGAATCGGCAGAAATGGACACGTTAAGGATGAGAGAGGACATGATGATTGCGATTAGTCACGACCAGCAACGTTCTTGAGGTGAGGGTAACAAAGCGTTGCGTCGGCAGTGACAAGAACAGTGAGATCGCAGAAGCCCGAGAGAGGTCAGAAAAAAGGAGACCATTCCGCCTATCGCTGATCAATCGGGTCACAGCAGTCAAAAGCAAAGAGACCACTGAGACGGAAAAGCAGACTGATAAGTCTGCCCATCCCTGGACATTCGGGTCACAATAGTCAGAAACAAAGAGACTATTGAGACGAGATTAGAAAATCAGCTCAAAGAGTAAAAACCGTAGAATTTAGGTCTAAGTAATAAAGGGAAGCATCGGCAGAATAGGCACGTACACGAAGAAAGGGGACGTAGTAATAAGGATTAATCAGGGCCAACAATGCATTTCAGTTGAGGGATACAGTACGTTACGTCGGCAGAGCCTAAGTCATTGGGATCTCAGAAGTCCGAGGTGGGTCAGAAAGCAGGAGACCGTTCAGACGAGTCCGGATAGGCCAGCAAGATGAAGCTAGGCCACCAAATTAACTTGTGGATAGCAGAGATGAGTGTCATAAGAAAAGGGACGACAGCGGCTATATGAAAGGCCAGTTAGCATGCCAAGGGAAGGTCTGGAGATACAGGGAACAGAATGTTTGGAATGAAGAGCCTCGATTGATAACGTCTCGGATGTCAGGGAGCAGTGAGGAAAATAAGACTGGTCAACCGAGGATAGATTAGATCCAGGTCCGAAGAGATTTACGTTCTTCAGAAGAGGTCGAAAAGCCAACTATGTTCTCCGGGTTATGGGAGTAGACCGATAAGTCTGCCTAACCCTGATCAATGTGGTCACAGTAGTCGGAAGCAAAGACAGCAGGCCGTTGAATATAGGTATAAGTACTAAAGGAGAGCATCGGCAGAATACGCATGTTCAGGAAGAAAGGGGACATAGCAGTAAAGATTAATCAGGGCCAACAATGCATTTCAGTTGAGGGTTACAGGGCGTTACGTCAGCGTTAAGGAGTGTCATAAGAAAAGAAGCTTTCGAGACGAAAGTCACTATATGAAGAGCCAGTTAGCATGTCAAGGAGAGGTCTTGAGTTGAGGGGAACAGAGTGTTTGGAATGTAGAGCCTCGAGTGATAACGTCTCGGAGCAGTCAGAATCATGAGACTGGTCAGCCGAGGATAGATTGGAACCAGGTCCGAGGAGATTTACGTCTAATTGAAAATTTAATGCAAATAGAGTACGAAAAGGAAAATACTCTATTCAGAAGAGGTGGAAAAGCCAGTGATGTTCTACGGGTTATGGGAGTAGACCGATAAGTCTGCCTGTCCGTGATCAATAGGGTCACAGTAGTCGGAAGCAAGGAGAGAAAGCCTTAGAATTTAGGTCTTAGTACTACAGGAGATCATCGGCGTAATAGAGATGTAAATGAAGCGGGGATATTATATTAGGACGAATCATGGCCAACAGTGCATTTCATTTGAGGGTTACAGAAGGTTACGTCATTTAGATCTGAGAATTCCGAGGTGGGTCAGAGAGCAGGAGACCGTTCAGACGAGTCCGGAAAATCCAGTAACTTGAAGCTAGGCCATTAAATAAGGGTGGGAATAAGAGTAGTGAGTATCATCAGAAAGGAAGCAGCTTGGGACAAAAGTGACTATATGAAAAGGCAGTTAGCCGGCCAAGCGAATGGTTGCAGGTTGAGAAGAACAGTTTTGGGACCTCAGAGCCCAGATCGTTGGGGTCTCGGTGTCTGGAAGTGATCAGAAAGCAGGGGGTTGTTCATACGGGGCTATATTAGAGCTAGGCCCGAAGAGTTATAAGGATGAATCGTGATCAGCGATGCTTTTGAGGTAACAGTTAGTGCATTACGTCTTTAGAGCCTAGATCATTTAGAACCCATAAGTCCGTGAGAGGTCGGAAAGCGGGACTGTTTAGATGAAACCGGGTAGATCGTCAAGGTGATGCTATGCCGCCAAAATAATGTGGGGATAAAGGTAATGAGTATCATGAGAAAAGAGCAGTTAGGGTCGAAAGTAACTGTATGGATAGGCAGTTAGCATGTCGAGCAAAGATCTGAAGATAAGGAGACCAAAGTGTTGGGACTGCAGAGGCTAAATCGTTAACGTCGCTGATGTCTGGAAGCAGTCAGAAAGCAGTAGACTGGTCGGACGAGGCTAGCTTACAGCCAGGCCACGAGAGTTATCCGTCCAATGGAGTATACGGTGACTGTGTGGTTACATGTCCTATATGTGAGCAGGTCCTTGTTGCCAAAGTTCATCTTCAGCAACGCAGCTGCCCAAAAGTTCCGCCACTTTTGGGACGCTGAGTAACCGTTTTATGGCCGATGAGAACTGCACTGCATTTTCTGATGCTCTGACTGTTCCTGGTAGCTTGTTCCATACGTGCGCATATCTATAGAGGAAGAAATTTGAACGAATGTTGCGACGTGTCTTAGGGAGAGAGAATGAGTGAGGCTTTTTGCGTATGGGGTAACGTGTATCACCCATCTGTTGAAAAAATTCGCCTATGCAGGAGTCAGGGGTTTTGAGAAGTTTGTAGAGGAATACGAGGTTGGCTTTAAGCCTTCGTAGCCAGAGAGGCTCCAGGCCAAGCAGTTTGCAGCGTCCTTGATAGTTGAGCGTAGATGGACCAAGAAGGCGCTTAGTGAAAGACCGCTGGACTTTCTCGATCCTCAATCTATCAATCTTCCGTGAATTGGAGATGACTAGCGAGCAGTACTCTAGAATCGGTCGAGCACATATTTTGTAGAGCATGAGCCGAGACTCCGCCAGGCTTACTGATTTCATTATATACCCAATAATAGATCTGGCTTTGGCAGAGCTATAGCTTGCCTGTTCGGAGAAAGTTAGCGAGCTAGAATAATGCACACCGAGGTCGCGCACGGTGAAGCTGTTACCTAAGGATGTGCCGTTAAGCGTCAGGGTGTTGTGTGGTATAGTGCAACGATAGGAGAGAACATTGCATTTCATTGGTGAGAATTCTAGTCGCCAAGTATCGCACCAATTTTCGAGACCACGAAGATCGTTCTGAATGTTTGAGAGGCTATTTTGTATGTGGCTAGGCTCGAACGAAAATACAACTTTGATATCATCGGCAAAAACGTATGGAGTACCGTATCGAAAGACGCGGAACACGTCATTAATGTATAACAGAAACAGCAGAGGGCCAAGTACACTACCTTGAAATACTCCGCTAGTTACGGGTGCTCTTTTGGAAGATGTATCACCTAGTTTTACTGACTGCGTTCGGCTAGAGAGGTAGGAAGAAAACCAAGAAAGAAGATGGCCGGTGACACCGAATGCAGCTAGTTTCATCAGCAGTCCATTGTGTGGAACCCGGTCAAACGCTTTTTCATGTCTAAGAAGATAATGACCAGAGCTTGCCCCGAGTCAATGGAGTGTGTCACGTAGTTCAAGAATTCAAACTGGCATGTTTGGCACGATTTAGCCGGCAAAAACCCGTGTTGGGACTTATTTATGAGATTGCGCTGCAGTAGAAAATGAAGCATCCCCTCCTTGACTATCCTTTCCATAACTCGGGACGCAAAGGGTGTATGGCTTATAGGTCGATAGTTGTCGATATTTTGGCGACAGCCTCGTTTGTGCCGTGGAACGACTATGGAGTGTTTCCATATAGATGGGTAGTTTCCGCTCTTCATGGAGAGGGTGAAAACGTTGAGAAGAAAGATTGGAATATCCGGGCCTCCGAGTAATAGTAAGGAAGATGGGACTCCGTCGGGGCCGGCGTTGTGTGTCAGTTTCAGTGAGCGTAGAGCGCGGCTAATATTGTTTAGGTCGAAATCAATGGTGTGAATGCGATCGTCGGTAAACTTTGAAATCGTATTTGGCAGTAACACATTAGTGCTGATGAAGGCATCACAGAAGTGTGCGTTAATAAACTCGCACAATTCTGCTGCATCAGTAATAACCCTATTATCAGGAAGCATTAGTGAGTTAATGGGCAAGTCGTTGCGGCCACTGCGATGCTTCATAAGTCGTACAAGTGACTTAGCCTTGTTCGCACTGCGCAGCGCAGTACGCTCAGCTAAAGTGTGTACATGATTTTGCGAGTTTCTCCATTCCACTAGCATTTCGTTAATACGAATTATGAGGTGAAAATCTTTAGTATGCTTGTAGCGAGAGCGCATTTTCTTAAGCTTAGTGGTAAGTTTACGCGTGGGGGCGTCATCGGAATTTTGAGGTCTCCTGATCGAACGCTCCATTGGGGCTAGGGTATCGAGACAAAGCGTGAAGTTATTGTAAAGTTCACAAGTCGCAGTGTCTGTACTAGTTGTCAGGAAGAAAGTGTCCCAAGGAGCGGCACGGAGAAGTGCGGAGAAGGCCTCCCAATTCATATGCTGTAGAGGCCTAAAGGCAGCGTAGACCGGGCCTACAGGATGAAGGAATTTGGCTAGCTTGAATGATAGCCTCACAACCTTGTGGTCGCTGCCCGGGATGTTATCTAACACACTGGCAGTTGCATGCGGGATACCGTTGGTGAATATTAGGTCCAAGGAGTTGGACAGTCTTGTGGGTGCGCGCACATGTTGAGTCCAGTCATGTGTGAAGACAGTGTCTATGAAGACCCTGTACCTAGATGGTGCTGATTGAGTAAGCCACGAGATGTGGGGCGTATTGAAGTCTCCGCCGATTATTTTATGACGGGCTGGAAGGAATGAAACTTCGTGAAAGAGCTTAGCCAATTCGTCAGCTCTAGTACTAGTCGGATGCGGTGGGTTGTAGATGCAGCCTATCATAATGTCAACTTGGCCTCATATGGCCTGAATCCAGACAGAATCTTCGGGATTTCCAAGTGGTATGGTTTGAAAAGAAGATGCGTGGAATTCATTGCTGACGTATATAAGGCAACCGCCGCCACGTTGATTTATGCGTCCGCTACAGAAAGTCCTGTACCCAGGAATGTGCAGCGGGTCATCAGGCATATCAGCTGCGTGCCACGTTTCAGTTATCAGCACTACATGCGGACTGGACAGAAGTATGAGAGGGGCGAGAATGTGCATTTTATTTTTGATAGATCGAGCATTGAATAGTAGGATTGTATACGAGTCTGTCAGATTGGTCTGGATGAGGGATGCGGCCAACGGCGCATCTGGCGAACCCCGTTGTGATGAGAGGTTTGTTTGTATGCATGCGTTGAGGTGCATGAAGGTAAGAGGCTGGCGGTGGTCTGGGACAGTAGGTTGTAGGGGAGAGTAAGATGCATTCGGGTGTATATAAGCTTGAGTTGTGAGATCAGGCGCGTGGTCAGGTGTGGTGCATCGGGTCAGAGACGTTGTCCAAGTGGCTGGAGCAAACTGGACGCCGTCGGTTGCATCGTTTCCAGTAGTCGGGTTAGGTGGTATAGCGCCGTAGCTTGATGCAGGCATGCTTGAATCGGGGGTCCGCAATTTGCTGCGTTCCATAAAAAAGGGGATGCTGGAGATGTTTGGGCGATTTGCGGAGAGATCGCATGTGATGGTCGATTCACAGGTTCGCTGGGTGCAAAAGGCCGAGGGGGTGCGGTGTTTGTGATACTCATAGGGTTAATGTATCTAGGTGGTCGTTGTCTGTGTGGTATTGTGACTCGATCAGCAGTGAAATCCGACTTGCTCGGATTTGACTTACGAAGTAGGGGGCTTGGGGTGTTGAGCAGATACTTCTGGCGACCAGGCTGATCCAGTTTCGTGGTCGCATAAGCAGACTTCGGCCCAGAATAGGGGGGCGGGACTTTCGGTATGCCCATGCGAACGGACTGGGTGTTTTGCTTAATCGGTAGCCACGGGGTGTTTGTCTTGGCCTTGTTGGAGCGTTCGCGTGTTGTAACTTTGCTGTACTGTTGTGGTCTTGATGGAAGCCGAGGAGTCTTAGCAATCAAACATCGTGGTTGAGGTTTGCTAGACGTTGGGGTCGGACCAGTAGGAGTTTGCGCAGAATGTTTTATGACACTGGTAAGGGACGTGTAAGACGACAAGAAGTCAATGCTTTCAACTTCTGATTCTGTGTCATACATGTCTGACGGATTAGTTGGACGCGGACGGTGTGTTTTGTCCACGGCCGTACTGGTTGTTGCTGTCATTGAAACAGTTCCAGTTTCGATGCTATTAACGCGTCCTTTGTTCCCAGGCGGCTCTAGTACGGCGGGGTCTATTTGTCGTTCTTGTGTTACATCCATGTCCACAGTATAAACCATAGAAGAGCAAGCGGTGAGAGTTGAAGTTGGATGAGTGGTAGTCAGTTGCGCTCCCGAGGGTGGTGTTGTTTGCGTTGTTCTTTTGGTTATTTTTGGTTTAGGTAGAATGGACCTCTGCAGCTGTGTTCTATCCGGTTTTATCAGGATTGGCCCGAGATTAGGCAGATGTCTTAGGAGAAAACGGGCGTCAATAAACCTTCTAGCAAAGTCGTGGTTGCCAAACTTGATCACGATTGGGCAAGATCGTCCAGGGATCTTACGCAAACGAGTGGCTGTACAACAACCATGTGGCATTTGGCAAGCATCTAAGTGTGTTTGCAGTACCTTCTTGAGAGGCAATTTATCGTGTACATTGAGTACAATAGCGTTGTTGGCGCGGCGCATGCGTTCACTAACTTCGTGCGCAATATTGCTCAATAGTTCACTAGTTGCGACTATATCAGTCAGATTTTCTCCACTTTGGTGTTTGGTTAAGTTGACAAAAGGTGTGAGCTTGTCAAGAGTCTGGGTAATAGTCAGAATTTGAGTTTTTAACTCGTTCACTTGACTTTCGAGGGCAGACACTTTTAGCAAAGCCTCAGCTAGTGGATCCGAGAGCATTACTTTGCACTCCCGTGTTTGGAGTGGACTAGCCTTGGCGATCGAAGGCGCTAGAGATTTCACTGGTTTCTTGACAGATGTGGGAGGTACGCGACGTTGGACGACCATGTTGTAAATACTGGATATAACAACTGGTAAGCACAAGGGTATATACGGACAAAACGGAAAAACGTGAACACGACAAACGACAGCGGAAAAAATGTGTTGGACAAAAGTCCAAAAACGGAACACACGAGTTAGTAGTGGGAATGTGTTACGTTAAAGTAACACAAAATGGGCCAAAACGCTACTGTATTCAACTCAGAGTATGGCAAGTTGGAACGCAACGAAAACGCACCGTTTCAAATTTGCCGCAGACGGGTAAAGGACAGCTGAGTATCTAGCAAGGAACAACTGTGCGCTGACCAGATGAGTTAAGGAAGGTCGCCAGCAGAGAGCTAAACAAGGTTGAATGAAGAAAGGACCCCAGACGGTAAAATGCAAGCATGCGTCAAGTTTATTGGGGGAGTCACATCATATAAGGCTGACGTATGGCGGTGCGTAGGTACGCAATTAATGCAAGGGTGCTGGGATAATTATACTTTGGATAGAGTCAGGGTAAGCTAGTCCGCGAGCTGGACACTTGCAGGTGAAAAGGTCGATGTGTTAGTCAAAATTGTTGGGAGTAATATGTAGGTAGAAGTAGCGCGGTTCAATGACCTGTGGCGATCGAGGGGTGCACAAACAGTAGTGCGTCAACCCATGAACCAAAAAGTGTAGAACAAGATGAGACCTCGGCGCTTCAATAGCTTAGGTGATCCTTTCGAAGGTGGAATGCTACGGTGCCAAAATCAATCAAGATGGACGCACGGAATAGTGAGCGTAAGAGCCAGGTTAACCATGTAGCAGCACTCGCTTGTGGTTTAGAGAATAAGGGAACATGGACTGCCCAACGTTCAGTTAAATTAAGAAGGGTTATAATGAAGGAAGAACTGCCCTAGCTGTAGCGGAGGTTATGTTGTGGAACATACTTACTATGAACACACCATTGTGGAATAGGGTGGCGCATTAGCCCTTCAGTAGATAAGGAAATCTACTCAAAGGTGGAATACTACTGGGTCAAAAATAAGCCAGCTAGGCGCATAGAGTGATGAAGATAAGAGCCGGATTAACTACATAGCATAAGCCACTCTTTATTGAGTGCCGGTACTTCAGTACCTTATGTTACCGACCCGAAGGTGGGTTAATACGATGGCAAAAGGATGCCAGATGAACTCAGAGAGCGATGAGCATAAGAGCTAGATTAATTAGACAGCAGAAGCCAATATTTAGTTAACGCTTAAGGGAAGATGGACCGCTGAATAGTCAGTTAAGTTGAGGAAGCTTATGGTTCAGAAAAACCGTAGTTAGAGCGAAAATTGGATCGGAGAACAAGCAACAATATCAATCCAAACATTGCGGAATAGGATGGCGTATCGGCGATTTTTAATATCATGTGAACCGCCCGAAGATGGGAGTCTACGGTGTCAAAAGGAAACTAAGCGGACAAAGGCAGCGCTGATGGGAAGAGTCAGATTAACTACATACCAGAAGCCCCTCTTTATTGAGAGCGTAAGGGAAGATGAACTGCCGAGCAGTCATTTAATTAGAGGTTGGTTAAAGGGAAAGATGACGGGACATAGCAGAAGAGACGCTTGAGTTGGAGGACATGCAATACTCGAAGCAACAATTATAAAATAGCTTGGGGCATGGGCGCTTCAGTTGCTTGGGTGAAGCACACGTAGGTGGGATTCTACGGTGTCGAAAGTAAGCCAGTTGGACGCAGACAGCAGTGAGGATAAATGCCAAAGTAACTGGATAGCAGAAATCAGTCTTTATCGAGCGATTAAGGAAACATGGGGTGCCGAGCAGTTAGGTATGTGAAGAATGGTTAAAGTGAAATAAAGCGGGTCGTGGCAAGTATCATTTGCATGCTATTTGGACATTGTGAACGGACATTGAACAAACATTTTCAAAGTAAGCACCTAACGTATTTTTATTACTACTTGACTAAGAACGTAGTTAACGTCGGTTTCCTTTCTTGGTTGGACCCTGGATTTTTTACGTCTCACCCGAGCGCACCAAGCGAATTGGTTGTTTACAGTACTCGAAAAGCCGTGCCTTGGTGTCTATTGAGGTACAAGTACTCGACAATCTTGCCTTGGCTTGAATCGATCGATTGGGGTACAAACATGATTTGGAGAAGTGTCTCTACCCTGCCGGCTGTCTGCAGAGTTTCCTACGAACCGGACACAAGCTCTTGCTTATTTAAATCCTATCAAATAGCGAGAAATAATCCGAGAACCTCGCCGGAGCGCAGAAGTACCTCGGGATGACAATCGTTCTCCTGTCAGTGACTTAGTTTCTTGCTCTGGTTCCCGTGCTATTACAAGGAATATGCGTAACGGGTGTATACCACGCGCTGCTTTCGCGTTAAGCATGGCAGCACTTTAGTTGGAACAGGCGGTGATCAAAGTCAAGGTTGCTAAAGTACGCTCGGACTAAGATACTAGGCATGCATCTACCACTGATTCGTCTCAATCCGAATCAGTGGCTCACGTAGTATCGTCCTATATTGGACCTTCCTCAGAATCTGCCTGTGGTAATCAGGAGTCAGCCATTAACGCGATAAGTAACCTTGTGAGTGACATCGGTAGCGGCCTCGGACAACACCTAGGGTCAAAGTGCATGGTTCAGTGAGGTGGAACAACATTCTTTCGTTACTAACTCGTTACTGTACATCAATTGGATGTCTTTACACCATGCGGCGGTAACTCTGCTGATGCTAATTTAAAGCACACATTGCCAGAAATTCAAGCGATACAGGAAGTGGAGTTTGGGTATTAGGCTGCCTTAGCAATTTGTCGGATCGTTTCGTTAGTACCGACGCAGCGAACATCTTCACTGAGCATGACGCTCTAGAGGATACCTGTCTCTATAGGATAACGTGGTCCAACATGAATACATTGGCTTGGAGGTACCAAACTCCCCCGAAGACACCGGCCAGCTGTGCGACGGCCCACACCGGCGCACAATTGGGATGGCTCGGTGACACATGATGATGTAAAAAAGAACTTTTACGTGGATTTGATGAATAGTGCTTCGTTGCCGCTTGTGGTTGGCCAGATGTACACCGGCGGTTTGGGAAGCTCGGTTGTGGTTCAGCAAAAACTGAGCGTATGGTTTAATGACATGGAGCAACCGCCCAGGGTGCTAATGTCTGGTAACCTACTGAAAACAGCCTTAACTTCCAATCAACCTGTAGCTCATTTACTTGGCAAACTTGCGAAGGTTTGGCATAGGTTTAATGAAGGTCATAAACCGTTTGGAGGATTGAAGATAATATACTTCACTTAGGCAAATTAGGGAAACTTTTGCGTGCTATCGTGGTAGAGCCGATGGCTGGAGCGGCGTTAGGGCGAACCCGAACAAGAAACAAACAGAGGAGAGATGCAAGGAAAATCCAGTGGATTTGAGGCAGAGGGAAAGCGCCAAATTAACCACGCAATGCGCAAGCTGGATGAAGCTAACTAACTCTGAGTTTCCGCCGACTAGTAGTTTACCCACCCTAAGACACTTTGTTACTTACCCTACCGACCCAGGGATTAGAACATCCACAAGATGAATATGTTCTAACTCTCAACTGCCAGCGTCTATCCGCTCACCTTGGTTATGTACCATGGTTACATGCCAACGGACAAAAATACAACGTAATTCGCAAGCACATGTACGGACTTCAGTCTGGTTGACCAAAGCAGACACCTGCTCCAATCGATGAGCACAGGCTTACCGCTAATCCCCATGTGAACTTAGCTCGATATTGCACTTACTTCACTACACTGTGCAGAACCTTCACACGCGTTTAACAAACCGTCCAGACAACCCCACCTGCGCACACCTCGGACTTGAACCCTCCTACCGCTGAATGGGTGCGCACACCCATATTCATCCCACCCACTGTTTGCCTGAGCCGAGCCACCCCAAGAGCCCAGCTTGTAGGGTTCCGGTTCCCACACTGCATAGCAAACCAATGAACCCTGGGTTAACGGACCTACGAACAGGACGGTCACAGTTCGACTTTGGAATCCGTATCGTGTGATTCTACATGTATAGTGGCAAGCACATTTTTCATTCTTTTGGACAAAATGAAAAAGCTTTTCGGTACTGATAGGCCCTTTTCAATGCGTATACCTACAGTTTTATTATTACTATTTGAATAGTACCGTAGTTAATGTCCGCTTCCTTGCATGGTTGGACCCTTGGAATTTTTACTTGTCACTTAAGTCCCCAAGCGACTTAGTCGCTTGCTTAGCCCGGGTGGACGCATGGGCAATCAACATGTAAGCGAACAGAACGACCCAATGCGTCCACGGCTTCTCTAGTATCACTACCGCCATATAGCAAGTTCAACACAAAATGTCCTAGTTGTGTTTATTCACAGCAGGTCAGCGTACTTTTGAATTTCTCCGATTTTTAATAGGAGCGTACGCATTTCGCGAAAATAAAAATTGATGCGTTTAGACTTGTCAAGTATTTTTGTCGCACTGCAGGGCCTTTTTGTAACTACATATTCCGTTTGTATTGTGCTGTTCAGTGACAATAATTTCTTCCTCCTAGTTCGAGTACCGTTGTAGAATTGCGCACAAAAAATGACGATTAGAGCACGTCACGTGTATAGGTTATCCTGGTACTGAGAGTATAAATAAGAGTAAGCGCTTAAAAGTATAAGTTGGTGGGACCTATCGCTGCATGCATGTGTGTCAATAACTCATTGAAGGGATGAGATAAAGAGCACAGCTACATTGGAATGAGCAGCAAATGACGAAATAAAATACGAAAAGAAAAATATCTATTGAATATAACCATCTTGTACCGTTTGCACAGACCAAACAAAGCAGCAGCTTTATGGCAACGTGCATAGTACTTTAACTGCAGCTACAGGAAACTGATTCTTGAGACCTTTCTGCCAAACTTTTATTAAATATAGGTCACCTAACCAAGTAATTCAGTAAACAAAAGGATTCTTAGCTTGTTATTATTCCTTTGCAAAATGGTTTAATTTTGTATGTTTCTTCCATATAACGATCAAGCTAAACGACATGTATGTTTTTTCAGTTAGGTTTGCAGGAACTCTCAAGCGTACAGAAATGAATTTTATCCCATGTAGCGCGGGGACCGTTTGATTGCACAATGTCGGGTTCACTTGGATGTGAGCTGCATCGTCTTCTATAATGCAGCACTGAGATGACACTATGAAACTACTTTGTAACAGAAGTAAACTTATTTGTAATATTTTATGTACAAAGATATTGTCATTATTGATTTAATAACCTTCAATAAAAAATTTATAAGTCACCTAATTGATCCTAAATTACTCTAGGTAATGATACAGGAAAAGTTTATTCTCTTTCCTTTTCAGAATAACAACGATTCTATAATGCTGTGTTGTATATCAAGACAAAGTAGAACAATTTTTTGAAAATTCTGTCGGCTGCTACCTCAAATATACTTTGCAGGGCATCCGCCTGACGAGTGTTTATTCGACGTTGTGCTATCAAACGCTCCGATGTAGTAGCGCCTCGGAGTGTCGCAGTACCTCGTCCACAAGTAAGATGCCGTCGAGCGATGCCTATATTGCCAATGTTGTTTTCTCTTTTCCTCCCCATTTCGTCTTCAATATTGTAGAGCACTATGTGTTATGCGTATTTGCACTCCATCCACGCAGTAACCTCACGTTCGGTCCCCCATCACCGGCTGTGACAATGATGTCCAGCTAGCCTCGAGGTGTATCACAAACACACCTTCTATCCAGCTCCGACTCTTACTAGGCGGTTGTCCAGTGGCCTACGAAGTATCTCTTTTACCTTTCAGCCCATTCGGTCTACTACTACGCACCTACGCTCCGGACACTGAAGCTTTCGGAACCCTCAACTGGACATATATTGCACCAGCACTGCATAATTTCTTTGTCGTCAATGCAGTGTACCGCCTCATGATGCTGAATACATCATCCAGTGAAGAGGAAAACCCGCAGTTTTCTGCGAAGTACTCTGGCAGTTCCACAGATGCACACTCACGCTGGCAAAATCATGAATTCAAAAAGTATGTACATCTTCCCAGAATAGTTGATGTCATCACTTATCTTATGTATTTTATAGCAATCTGAATGCCTTCAGCTTCATTTTGCTTAGTATTCTTTTCGTAATTGTTTCCTTATGCGACGTTATTATCTCTCTATGTTTTCGCTAAGTAATTATTGACGCAGCAAACGTGTTTGTTTTAGCTGAAAGTACCTCCCTGATATCAGAGTCGGTTTGTAGAGAATTTTTATCTGGTCCATTGTCATTCCTATGTTTACTTACAGAATGTGGCGTATAATATTCAACGTGGAATTACTTGGTGTGGTAGTTTGCTCTAAATGTCGTGAAACTACTCTCATACTAATGTGTTGTCGGATTGTCAGGAGTCCGCTGGCAATCCTCCTCCGACTGTCAGCGGACTGTGGCGAATGCGTGGCAAGTTTATTGCAATTCCCGACGCCGGATGCATCATACAACTGAGTGTAATGATTGCGACCTACGTATGGGGAAACTGACTCGTTTATGTGAAGAATAGGTAATTTTTCCTGTAAATAAATATTTTGTGTGTTTCGACGAACTTTCGCGCGTTAGTTTTGTTCACTGCTACAATTTAAGCAGAGTAAGGCTACAATATTAGGAAATACATGGCAATGCGCATTGCCCTATATTTCATATTATCCTGGCTCCACCCGGAGTGGCATGTGGGAGTGGGCAGCAGAAATGTCTCCCACAGTTCTTTGACGGTCCAAATCATGTTCACTTAAGACTTAATTTTGACTCGCAGTGGACTGCCGGCGGACTCTCGACAAACTGTCTTGGCGGCAGGGCTAAACTCTTTTATTTTAGTTTAGTGTTATTGTATCGGATTTGGTAACCCTACATTTGAAATACTTTTGGATAAGTATGCATTTGTATCTCTGCCAACCCAGACTATCAGGATTCCGCTGACAGGTCGCCTCGCATTGTCAGTGGACCTTCGACGACCTGTGACCTATTTTATTGCAAAAACCAATGTTGGATAGTAAGGAACCTCTTCGTGGCGAACTGACACGTTTCTGAGTCGATTACTTAAGTTTTCGTTGAATTAAACCATCTCTGTGTTCTTCGATGAACTTGCAGTGACCTAGAGATTCCATCTATGACTGTGTAAACCATTCTAAAATATATTAAAATTATGGCTTACGTAGGTATTAGGGCATTAGGAGGTTTGCCTGCTGGAACGTCGTTTCTGTTTGTTTAGAACACGAACACGATATTCGCCTTTGGTCCGCGCGACTCGACTGCGAACGACGATCCGTCCACGCACTCGACGCCCCACTACATGCTCCCTAGCTAGCTCTATCCTGGTGCCCTATCTTTAGCATTAGCTAACTCTCCACCCGTCCAATAAACATTTTCCCTAGCTTACTTTTGTGTGTTCTGCCCATTGCTTTTGGTTGGCCATCTAGTCTCGTACCGGATATATAGCGCACGATCCACGCGCTATAATTGGTGATACAGAAAAGATGATTTGCGTTGAGTTTGATACTAACATTTCTGTTCAGACCCGGTAACTTATTCTGTCTATCCTACGCATTTAACTTTTTACTATTTGGGTTCACTTTCACAAGTTCCATATTTTTAACCATGAATGTTGTTCACCGAGGTTCTGACGATCAGTTTAGTGGGTTCCGTTTCCCTATCCCGACCTTCTGAGAGACTAATCCTAAGAACTAGATTAATTAGCTAGAACCATTTTTTCGTTACGTGGTATTAGGTCTGACAGTGTCAAATTTCATTGCGTTGTCGCAGCGCTTCCTTCGCAACTCGCCGATGACCTCGACGGCATCTTAGAGCTTTTCGAATTTCAGAAGAGTTAAGATGAGCTGAAGTTCATAATCTTAAAGCGATTCGGCATATCAGACTATGCTAGCGTTACGCAGCTTCTTAACAAACCCGAACTAGGTGATCGGAAACCTTCACATTTGCTGCACAAGATGCAGGCTGTAGCTAAGCCTCTCTCTGTTAGCGATTCTTTCCTTAAAGATATGTGATTTCGTCGTCTGCCACGTGACATGCGTTACCCCTGTATGCAAATGGTGCGCCTCTTTCTCAGCTCTCCGATATTGCCGACCGTATTTTGAAATCTAACGCCAAACTATCTCAGGTTTAGTCTATTTCCAGTACGGAATTAAGGGCGCAAGTAGCGACACTTACCAACCGACTAGAGAACCTAATACAGTTCGTATTCAACCTCCAAAATCGTTCCAGTAGTCGTACTCGTCCTAGATCACGTATGAAATCTCCCCTAGGTCAAGCTATTGTTGGTAACATGAGCGATTTGGTCCTGTAGCGACCTGGAGATTCCCCCGTATGACTGTGTAAACTATTATAAAATACATTCAAATTATAGCTTCCTTATGTATTAGGGAATCAGGCAGTTTGCCTGTTGAAACCTTGTTCCCGTTTGTTGAAAACACGAACGCTATCTCCGCCTTTGGCGCGCGCGACTCGATTGCGAACGACGCTCTGTCAACGCACTCGACGCCATCGACATTCTCCCTAGCTAGCTCTCTCCGGGTGCCCTATTTTTAGCATTAGCTAACGCTCCTCCCGTCCAATAAACTTTTCCCTAGCTTACTGTTGTGTCTTCTATCCATTATTTTTGGTTGGCCGTCTAGTCGCGTACCGAGTTTATAGCGCACGATCTACGCGCTATAGTCCTCAGGCCGGATCCTGTCGCCCGCCCTGTTCCTTCAAGCGCAACGCGCAGGGAAACGGGCTGACCAGCACGTAGGGGCGACGGATGTTGACGGCTGCTGCAGTCGATTTTACTGCGTCACCGATCGCAGTACGGGAGTACGCTATCTCGTTGACACCGGCGCAGAAATCAGCGTTGTCCTAAGTGATTCTAATGATGTTATTGGAGAGGCGACTAGTTGATTGCGCGCAGCAAACGACACCACCATTCGGGTGTATGGTCAATGTTTGTGCACGCTTAGTTTAAACCTTTGACGTTCTTTTAAATGCATCTTTCTCGTCGCAGATGTCCAGAAGCCAATACTTGGAGTAGACATTCTGCAGCACTTTGATTTGCTTGTTGACGCGAAACAACGTCGTCTGAGTGATAGTCAGACAAATCTGGCAGTTATAGTTCTCTTGACCGACATTGAGTCAATCAATCCTGTATATGCCAACCAGTCAAGCTCACCTATTGGTCAGATGCTTAATACCAAGTTCCCGCAATTCTTTCGTGCAATGCACCGTTTCTATCTGCTATTGATGCCGCAAAACATCACATGGTTATCAAAGGTCCTCCTGTTTTCACCAAAGCCAGGCGAAAGACCCATGACAAGCTAAAAATTGCTCGCGCAGACTTCGAGCACATGCTTGAACTAGGCATCGTTCACCCGCCTAAAAGACCATGGGCGTCGCCGCTCCACATGATGCTCAAAAAGACAGGAGACTGGCGTCCATGTGATGATTAGCGCGCGCACAATAACCTTTCTGTTCCCGACCGCTATCCTATTTCACACATTCAGGAAATCACGGCAAGCCTGCGCGGCACCCGGGCGTTCTCGAACATCGATCTGGTTCGCGCTTATCACCAGATTCCAGTCTCTGAGGAAGACTGCAGTAATCACGTCGTTTGGACTTTTCGAATTTTTGTCTATGTCCTTCGGTCTTCGTAACACTGCCCAGACTTTTCAACGATTCATCGATTCAGTCACTAGAGGTCTAGCTTTCGTCTATCCATACATCGATTATATCCTAGTTGTCAGCGCTTCTAAAGAACAACACGCAGAATATCTCAAGGTTCTTTTCGACAGGCTGGCCACTAATAGCATCACTGTCAACTCTGACAAATGCGTATTTCAGCAGCCTTCCATAGAATTTATTGGTTACCATCTTTATCAGCACGGCATACGTTAGCTGCTATTCGCCGTTTTAGCGGCATGCTCAATTATTATCGATGTTTTCTTCCACACTGCCAATTTTCTAAGTCCACTAACCTACATACTTCCTTGACGTAAAATTGGTCAGGTGAAACTGATTGCTGCTGCTGCCGAAGCGTTCAAGATCAGTAAAGAAGCCTTAGCCAAAGCCAGTATGCTTTATGGTCTCAATCCGAACGCTCCGCACAGTGTTGCTACTGACGCATCGGACACTGCCATTGGCTCCGTCCTACAGAAACATACAAGTGGATGCTGGAAACCTTTTGTTTTCTACTCTAAACACCTACAACTTGCCGCAGTCAAGGACAGCACGTTCAGCCGCGAACTGCTGGTCGTTTACTTTACTGTTTGACATTTCCTACATGTCCTTGAAGGTAACACCTTCAGTATCTACACCGATCACAAGCCGCTTATATACGCATTCCGAAATCAACCAGCTCGACACTCCCCACATGAGATTCGTCAGCTGGATCTCATTGCCCAATTCTCGACTGATATCCGACACATTGCTGATCAACAAAACCTCGTCGCTGATGCCCTTTCAAGAGTATCTGCGATCGGCCCTGCCGGGCAAGCAGTCAAATTGTCTGCTATGGCCGCCGCGCAATCAAACGACCAAAGTTGTTCGGAACTATGTGATTCTTCTTTGAAGATATCCCCACACTTTTTATCGTCACCTGATGGTAGAATTTTATGCGACATATCTACCGGATGGCCTCAACCCGTCGTCCCAGCAACTTTTCTCTATATCCTTTTCGACACCCTATACAATATCGCCCACCCAGTCATTAAAGCTACTGCTAAGCTTGTCTCCGAGAGATACGTTTGGCCGGGGATGCAACAGGACCTTACGCGCTGGGCACGCAGCTGTCACACCTGGCAGCAAGCCGAGATTCAGGGGCACGTGTCCGCTCCGCTTGGTCGCTTTTCGTCCGTTTCAGCGCGATTTGCCCATGTCCATCTCGACATAGTGGGACCTTTGGCCCCGTCCAAAGGAATGATCTACTTTTTGACCATTATCGATCATTGCACCCATTGGCCCGAAGCCCTTTCAATCCCTGAGGTAGCTGCGGAAACCGTAACACGC